GAAAATGTAGGCCTGAACAACAACACAACAATTGATACCACAATTAAATCTAACACCATGAAGGCATACAGGCTTGTACAACTATACAGTATGGTACACTCTGTACTTAACTATATGTATATTTTCTTACTTAGAAGAAACACCATTCCAAAATTCAATATTTCAGACGATGTTTTTGCGACGACGTGTCTACGACAGTTCCGGTAGTTCACATTCACGTTTGCTTTAACCGTAATTTGGATATTATGAGACAGGTGCACAACCAACCAGGTATCTGAAGGAAAATTGCTGCCAAAGACAGTAGTGCCCTACCAGGCTAAACCTGCAAATTATAAGTTCAGCGGTCACCCCTTATAGCGTCCACCCTCGAATTGGTCTAGCACTGGGGCCGAAACGGTATCCGACCAGTTTGTCAAAATCTAGTTTGTTGAAACCCATGATTGCCGAATTAATGGCCTCTTTGCCGAAACCCAGTTTGCCGAATTCAGTTCACCGAAATCATGACAACCCAGTTTGCCGAAACCTAGTTTGCCGAAACATTTGCCGTCACAGTACAAAAGTACAGCATACTTTGCTTTTGAAAACATGATGGGTGGATCAGGGAGGAGCCATATTTACATTCCCGTATTTGTACCCTTAGTAAACGCTCCGCTTTGAATAAACGCCCCTTCTAGAGCCTCGTTTGCAATAAACGCCTCTTTCGAAAATACCCTGTGGCGTATATTTTTTCCTCGAAACTCCCCCTTGACTGTAATCAGAGATCTAATGGAAACATCATTCCCAACACTTTCTACTAATTTTTTAACTCATGTAGAAATTACATTTCAATTACATTGGAATTAAGGAGCGTTTGAGTATATACAGTACGTATCCATTTTACACAAAAAAAATAAATGCCTGCCTCGAATAAACACGTCCCTCGAAAAAACTCCAACTCAAAAACCATTCTCAACAGTAAACGCCTCATAGCGTTTATTCGACGAAATCGTCCGGGACCAAAAATGATAACTTGCTTATCCATATAATAATAAGTTATTTTAATAAAAGTTATTTTATTGTCAATTTCTAATATTGTGGTATAAAAAACCCCCAAAACTCCCAACGCAAACACATGTATTTTTTATGCAGGGACCTTGACAGAGCCTCTATTCAGTTGTAGATTATTATTTATTTATTTATTTCATTTAGGTATACATATTATTATCCTAATTAAACTTTATACACTTATTATAAATATGCGTATAGGCCTAGACATTTTATCTGACAGGCCTATTTAATTAATTTTTTTTTGGTGATAGCTAAATTGTTAATCAAGTTTGATTTACAGAATAAGACAAAACTAATCATTAAACTACAATAAGCAGTCATTTATTATACGAATAAACAGAGATCGCATCGCACATCGCATTGGAAGGCTTCTAAATTCTCAATTTCGCAATTCTGGAATTTGCCCCTTTAACAATAGACATGTAATAGATAGTTAATTTTTTTCCCGATAAATCATGTAATTTTCTTTCTTCTTTGAGAGTGGAAAAGAACAATTTCCAATTATGGATGAATAAATAGATATCTATGTCTATGCCCTTACTTTAGTAGATCCGAAACCTCACCACAAGGCCCTCCCACAGCCCCAATCAGACGTAATGCAGTGACGGCGCCATAGATTTTCAGATATGAAGATCTAAATTTCTCGACAATCTATGACAGGTAATTTCACCATGAGAATTTAAAATTATAGTGTTCGCTACGAAATTTGTCGATGGGAAGTCCAAGGTCCCGTTTCCACCAGATTATCTATCCCTAACCTCCGCTGGTGGCGCCGACACCGATGTTTTCTGACTTCAAATATAAAGACCTTTTTTGAGTAAGTGCCCTTTTATGGCATTTTCTTCTTACTAATTTGAGTAGACATACATTACATTTAAACAGAGAAAAACAATAGAAAGTTCACTCATAAATACTGGGACGGTGTTCGGCAGGGGTAGCTTTTACCATGTAGTTTAGTCACATTAATATAGGCTGTAAATTATTATTTTTTAAATAAATTAGAAATACGGGGGTGACTTGTGGGAGGATAATTGTTTATTATTATTATTATTATTATTATTATTATTATTATTATTATTATTACTACTATTATTATTATTATTATATTTAATATTATTATTATTATTATTATTATTATTATTATTATTATTATTATTATTATTATTATTATTATAGCGTTATTTGTTGAATTAATATGATTAGATAAGACAAAAAAAGATAAGATAAGCTTTACTGTCATATTCCAAACAAGTGAACTATTAAATTACAATCGTGATAATAAGATATAACCACATCTGTCTCTTATACACATCTAGATGTGTATAAGAGACAGTATATATATATATATTTATTTATACCACAACTTGATTTCAATACTTGAAAATAAATATCAAATGGAATTGTGCATTTCTTCTCATCTTATTTAATGTCTATGTTTACTGTAATAACTTCAATAGCTAAAATAGCCTTATTATAATAAGCTTATAAGCTTAAACCAAAAGTGAATGTACACGTCCATTGCAATTGGTATGATAACTACAGCTTCTAGCTCTCACTATTTCTACAACACTATCCCAAAATAATCAACATTAAAATTACATTTTTCAATTGATTGCAATTCCACAAGATTATAAATTTTAATATTGATACATTTTTATTAAATTTAATAATTCATGCTACATAATTCTATATTCAAGTGAAAATATCACAACAAATGTACACTAAAAGTTAAAATGGCATTATGCAAGTTGATATTTACAATTGTTTTACCTTCTAACCTTACAATTTGATAACCTATTGCATCTTACTAATATTACAAAAGGATCAACGTGATAAGGATTATTATGATGTGCTATATTTTGATTAATAAAAAAAATAATAATAAATAAGTGTAAAATGTATTACTACAGCACTGACTATACTAGTGAAAAAACATTCTCGTCAAACTTAAAAAAAGGTGTATAGAAATGGGATCCTGAAATCCAATGTCAAGAGTATTCCAGTTTATTGATTCTCAACTCTGTTACTCACTCTCTTTTTCCGAACTGAAAACAAACCAGAAAATAACAAATTATTAGCATATGAAATTGTATTATAAAGGTAAAGGTAGGAGAATAACCCATAACTTGCAGCGTTATTGTGCTGAATTGCGTATGGGTGTGGTCCGCGGCTACCTCAGCCGCCGTAAAGAGGCACTTTTGGCTACACTCACATCATTCCACAACAACATGAACAACAAAATGGACCATAGCATCGGGGTACCCCCTACTCTTCCGCACACGAGCCAGACTTGTACACTGGACCTCCATTTTAAGTCCTTATCCGAGCAGACTTGGTTCTACCAAATGAACCCTGGATTCTTTTGTAGTGTATTTTTTGTATTATTTATTTAGTCCTGTTAAGTGTTATAAGTGATAATATTTAAAGTAATTCTGTTTTTAAATTCACCTTAAATACATTGAATCTTTAATTACTTTGATTAAATATTTCTACAAGCTTTTTTTTTTTTTTTTTGTTTAGGTAAAACATACTTTTTCGGCAACTTTCCCTTTCCGTTAACAAACAACAGTTCTTTTCAAAACTATATCTACATGGTGTACCACATGCATTAAATATATTATAACATATTTTTTGATTTAAAAAAAAATTAATTCTAAATTTTTGGTTTAATGGCCATTTAGTCTAAATGCTTTCATACTTAATATTACCATAGAGAAAATAGAACTATTTTCTCTATGATATTACTGGCTGTTCTTAACTCTTTAGATTTTGATTTGATTTATTTAATATGCTCTTTAAAAAATACAACAGAAACAAAAACACATGAACAGTTTACAAAAGAGCATATCGGGGATAACCTTAAAATTGCGAAAAAAGACAATTATTCCATAGGGGTCCCCAAAGTTGCATTCTGTATGTCTTTTATACCCATCAAAAGTAAATTCAATTCAACAATTTATTCTCCATCTGAAATCTTACACTCTGGTGACTGTTTTAGATCTGATAACTAGCCATAAATTTTCCCTTCAATTTTATGATAACTGAATATGTGACCTGTGAAACTTACCAATTTCATTATTTCTCATAAGAAAATTATTGGCCTTGCCACGTGGTCCAGCATGGTCGAAAGCCAAACCAAACTTCACAATGGTTTTGTTCTTTTCTAGTACTTCTGCAATGTACGATTCTACCTTTACACCAAGTGATGACCGCTTAAAAGAAAATACATGTATTATTACAATAAATTGGTTGATTCAATATCATAAGTAGAATCATTATATGGCAAGCATTTTGAAAATTCTGGTTTATGCTCACAAAATGATGTGATATAGGTTGATCGTTAAATATTACTTTTTTCAATATGTTTATTTAATCATTATTATTTTTGTACTGAAATCTGTATTTTGCTGAATTTGGACTAAACAAAATATGCAGCAAATTGATGCTAAGGGTACTGTATTTTTTATTTACTTTCATTGGAAAGTTAAAAAAAAGAAAAAATAAATAAAGAAAAAGAAAAAATTGGAGAGAAGCAATGTAGATAACGTGTGTTGCTCACGGACACAAGCGAAATGAACAGTGAGAGATTGAGACCCCAACCTAGAATTTGGGATGTTTTTGACATTTTTACACTTTTATGACATAAATTGTTTTGATGCATTTTAGTCTGTATTTTAGTCTTTGATATTTATATATATTTAAAGTTTTACCATATATAATTGTTGCACTATAATTAGTTTTATGTAGGACCCCATTGAAAATAAGTTTTACTTTATAAAGAAAACTTTCATGGGCTATCCTTACATCATCTTTTGTTGCTATTTGTTTGTCCTGCCTTGAACAAATTTTATCCATTTTTGTAAAATACTAATGATGTGAAATAAACTGAATTGAACTGAACTAAGAGAAAAAGGTGCATACTGTACCAAAAAAATAAAGGTAAAAATTGCATTGCACTCCTTATACTTTCATTCTAAAAATGAGTGATTTATCACTATAAAATATACAGTAGTATAGTAACTTACTTTTGCAATTCTGTCATTGAGACGTGTGCTTGCCATACTCAGCGTCTTTAGGTGTGTGTTCTTATGTAGAGCTTCTGACAATGATATTAGTGTAGGTATAGGTATGTTCTGTCAACAAAATTCATATAAATCACATATTATTTAAAATATATAGGGTTCTTTTGCATGCTAACTTAACATCATCACAGTATTGTACATAGTAATAACGTTATTGAAGACAGAATTAGGGAATAATCTATACAGTGGCAACCAAAGACTAACACATGTATTAGTGTTTAGCCTGTGAAGGGTCATCGGAGACTAGCCTGTGCTTGACTGTGACTTTTGGAATATTGTTCCAGCATTCTGCCTTCCCTAGCTGGCGGATCCCAATGTAGTATTTACATTGCTGACAGAGCCAAGGAAATGACACAATGTATTAAGTTATACAAAGCATGTACCTTAATGTTATTCATGTTGAGACTGGTTAGTTGAGGGTCATTTTCTTGTACTTGTTTTAATGCTTTATCAACATCAAGATTATTTTCTGGTTCCATATTCAACGTCTTTGGAACAAAACCTTTTAGAGATTCCTGAAAATAAACCACATGAACCTAATTACAAAGCAGAATTTTTAACAAAATTCAAAGCAAGCAATGATGAGGTGAACTTTCCATGAAAAAATATATTTATTTTAATAACATTGGTTTATATCTACATTCCCAATATTATTATTTTGGCTTATCTAATTATGCAATATTATGTTATTTTTTTATATTTTTAATTAATTGTACATTTTACCTTACTGATAATCTGTCTCCATTTTCTGTTCTGTGTTCTTTGTATTATCTCATGTAATTTTGTGTGTTTGAACAGGGAAAAACAAGTTTAACTATTTGACAATGTATTCAGTTTAATGTCTCATTAAAGTATGTTAGCATTCTATTTTACAATTAATTTTAATAAATCCACACAAACATTTAAAACAAATTGTTTCTTACTATCTATTGATTGAAACTTTTTACTAATTGTAGCTTTGTTAAGTTAAGGTTTCATTATAACTATGAGGCTTACCATCCCAAAACCAGCGTACTGTCGCTAAATGTTAAACTGAGTAATTAACATAAGAATGTGGCAGTATTGTATACTTTAGTACAGTGAAGCTGTAATACTTTTAATCATAACTTTGGCAATATTGAGTCGATTCCAGTAAATGACCCATTATTTTGAAACTTATAATGTGGAGAATATGGATACATGAAACAGTTAATTTTCTGGTTTTGGTTACTAATTAGCCCCATGTATTTTCTTGTAGTAAGTAGTTAGTTTAGTTAAGTGTAATTAGTTAGTGGGAGTGAACGTTACTTGAACTCAAGGAGAGGAAGTACAAATACAGTATTATATTTATAACAAAAAAATCAACTGACCACAATAATAATAATAACAACAACAACAACAACAACAACAACAACAACAATAATAATAATAATAATAAAATAATAATAAAACAGTAATAATAATAATAATAATAATAATAATAATAATAATAATAATAATAATTATAATAATAATAATAATAATAAAAACTTTATTTAACCGGAAAACAATTGATCACCTCAATGGTGTTTTTCATCAAATGCCATAACAGACATAATCAAAGTTAACTAATGTTAAACAAAGAATAAAATTAATTACAGAAAATAAAAAGAAAACTAAAACCAAATCAAGAACAAAAATTTAAAAAAATAAAAAATTACAATAACAGCTATTAATAAAATTACTGCTATAAAATAACCTAAAATTAGTATTAATAATATGAAAATAGTGAAGATGATAATGACATCTATAACAAATTTACATATTAATAAGCATGCCCACAATAGAGGGATATTAAATCTATATTTTGTTTGTACTGATGTAATGTAGAGATTTGCCTAATAATACGTTCTTTGTTACTGTTATTGATATTTTTTAGTCAATGAATTTCTGTGTTCTATTTGGATTTACGATGCAACCTGAATTAATTTCATTGCAAAAACTAAAATGTCTGTGATTCTATTGACTTACGCTATATTTATTTACATGTTTATTGTGGTATTTTCTAATCTATGTAATATAATAATAGTGTTAAATATATTATACACTCTAACTCATATTAGGAATAAAATAAAACTAATAAAATCAAGACAAATAAAAGGTTGATGAGGAAGCTGATAAAAACAATGAAGAAAATAATGAAAATAAATAATGGATTACAACAAAATTACAATTCACAACAACAACAACAACCTTCTGCTCGCTTGGCTTCGATTGAAGTAGCAAGAGAAGTAGCGATAAGAGAAAAGAAAGAAAGAAGAATAACTATAACATAGATAAGATACCTCAGGGTTGGCCATTGATAATGAGCACTGACTTGGTAATCAAATTATTCAAGGTCACAGTTAAAAAGTAAATACTGCTAGACTGCACAATGTCTGAAGAGAATTGGTCTCTGAAGCCACTTTCAGACGTTACCGCGCAATATTGCGGGAATATGAAAGGTCAGGGCTAATCGCAGCCGTAATATTGGGGTTATGCAGCGTTCCATCTCAGACCATTGTTCTATTTTCTCTATGCTCAGGCCTAGCAATATTACCGCAACATTCCTGCCGGTGTGTTCTGGGTACCTGAAACGAAAGCAGGTCATATTTCCGCAATATTACTCCTTACTTACCAGATCAGTCAACCAACGATGGCAAATAGGACGGATGCAGAGGTTAGGGAGCAGACTGCAGAAGAGCAGATTTGCCGTCAAATTGATCTACGATCTTAATGTTTTTCGAGGATTATGACGTCATCTAATTTGATCTGTCAAAATATTTTGTTATCGCATAATCGATAAATCGTTATCGAATTCTCCTAGTGTAAAAACTTACCCTTATTTCGGTTATTTTCTATGAACAATTGCCTTTTACCTTTTTATCGTTATATAGTTATCGTTGAAAGTATAAACAGGCCTTAAAAATCGGCTTAAAATTGTCTTCAGTCCATTTTTTGTTGTTGCTCAAGTCAAATTTATCAATATTGCTTAGCTCATGCTTAAAATTAAAAAGTCGACTGTACGCATGCGCCATCTAAGACAATTTTTTAGTTAAGATTTTGCTAAGATGGTTTATAAATCAGCTTAAGATATTTGCTTTAGGGACATCTTAACTTTTTTGACTTAAGACATTTGCTCAGCTGAGATTGATAAATCCCGGGTCTGGGCCCAGTAGCACATGTTGCTGTAAACTAAACTAAATTATTTTTAACTTGAAACGCAACTAGCCTTGGTCATGTAGTCTGAGTTACCATAACTTATAACTACCAATAAAACTTCCTCGTCCGATTCCACAACATTAAATTGCCGATCCAAACAAATATATTTTGAAAGCCAATCCAAGTATGGTAAAAAATCACATGGGCGATCCTGTACCGTAAGATTTCTCCCCATGAACCTCACCCCAGGGATTTTATACCGAGACCCTCAACAAGGCTCTAGGCATCCCCTTGTTTTAGACCCCCATCAGAATTGTTGGACCTCTTATCGACATTTTTCTAATTTTACAAACATTTTACTACAAACTCCTTAAATCGACACTACCACCCAATTTAAGAGTCTATGTATAAATAAGAATATAGCACTGGTATAATTTAACTGTCTGTTAATTGACATGAAAACAATTTTGTCATTCATATTTAATTGTAAATTTGTAACTTACTTAAATATAATTATTCAGTTATGGAATTAAATGTGACATTGGAAATGGGCTGGACTCCGGCCTAATGGACGTTCCTGATGCTCATTACGGTAATTTTTACTATTCTTGATCTCAATCCATTTGTTATCTTGCTTATGCATGTTGGGCATCGAATAAATTCAATCAATTAATCAAACAATATTATATCCTGAAAATGTTTGTATGAAGATTATAGTTATAGTAATATCGAATAGTACACTTTTTATAAATTTTATTAACCCATGACAATCGGAATGCTAACATAATTTGTTTGCGCTAATGCGATCTACTAGTCCTACCCAATGCCATGTATTTGATAATCTATGACAGGAAATTTCACCCTGAGACTATAAAAGTACAGTATAGTGTTCGCTACGAAATGTTTCGATGGAAGTCCAAGATCCCGTTTCCACCATCATCTGTCCCTCACCTCCGAAGTGCCCTTATATGGCATTTTCTTCTTACTGATTTGAGTAGACATACATTACATTTAAGCAGAGGAAAATAATATAAAGTTCACTCATAAATACTGGGATGGTGTTCGGCAGGGGTAATTTATACCATGTAGTTTAGTCACTTTAATATAGGCTATAAATTATTATTTTTTAAATAAATTAGAAGTACGGGGTGACTGTGGGAGGATAATTGTTTGTTTATTATTATTATTATTATTATTATAGCGTTATTTGTTAATTATAATGCGTAATTTATAAGATTAGATAAGACAAAAAAAAGCTTTACTGCCATATTCCAAACAAGTGAACTATTAAATTACAATTATGATGCTTGATAAATTAAAGACAAGAGCAACCTTCACTGGTCACTAACAGGACACGTTGGATAAATGGCGTAGTCAGTTAACGCTGTCAGGTCGTCAGTTTGAATCGCGCCTCAGTTTTAATTTATATAAACACACACATATATATATAGTTATATATATATGTATATATATATATATATGAAAAAATAGGCTCTGAAGGCAATCAATTTCTTTCGCTATATATATATATAGATATATATATGAAAAAAATAGGCTCTGAAGGCAATCAATTCCTTTCACTATATATATATATATAAGTATATATATACATATATATATACATATATATATATATAAATGAACATTCTGAGAGCTGTTTGATTAAAAATTTTGGAAAAGCTAATAAGCTACACAAAACATCGGCCTTTGATGTATATTCTGTTGTTTGTATCCTGTAAAAAAACTGCACTACAATCACTATATATCTTAAATGTAGTTTGGTCTGCCAAAATCATGGTCTTCGGTGTCTAATATAATCATTCTTATGTTTTAGAGAGAGACCTGTATTAATTATTGGACCATACAACAATACAATGAGACGACGCGTTCAATGAACAAAATTTAATAAAACAGGTATCATTATCAAGATTGATTGTTGGTGAATACAAGTTATACCATACGCCACACAACAAAAGGCAGCTACTCTACTACATAGCACACTTTTGAAGATCTCCAGAGAATAGACAACAAAACTAAAAAATAAACATGATGATTGTTCTTTGGTTAAAACAACACATTACTGTTTCACATTACAATTATTCATTTATTATTATCATTATTGATGGTGCTCTACTATTTTTAATATGGTGCAGTATTTAGGTGATAACCAAACATAGTGACTAAGCTAACCACTGAAACTTAATGTAAGAATAATCATTGTCATCTTTGTCATAACATTTAACACAACCTATCTTTATCAACATTAGTTAAAATCATAATTCCATCTAATATTATATGTTAAAAAAATAGTAAAGAAAATATCTTGTTTGAAATCTAAAGAACAATTGACCTAAATATGAGGATAAAACTACATTTTCATCATGAATATATTTCAGTTGCATTATCAATCAATTTATGATACAGAAAAAAACTACACTGACAGGTCAACTGCTAACAAAAAGTACTTCGAAAAACTAAGGAGAATAATATTTAATGGTGAATGTTCCAATAAGCACTGCGGCGCTTGTAACATTTTGAAGGCATCAGTGCGGCACTTGGCATCTTTTACAAGCTATTGTAGTTCTAATATGGTAAGATGTATAAAACATCTGATTTGTTGCAATGTTACTATATATTTCTTTATTTGATTAATCAGTTATTTGATAGTATCCAGATAACTCAAAGCACACTAGGTATGTACACCGTGAAACTTAAGACTTAATAATGCTATGATACTTATTTATTAAAGAAAGGTGCAAGGCAAGAAAGTATCACATTTGGTGCCTATTCTGTAAAATGGTGGTTTTTGCAAGAAGGGTGCTTATTGGAATATTTAGGATAAATATGCCAATGTCCAAGTCAACAGCACAACAAACATATATCTGGCAGTGTGGGAAAAGACCTCTACTGTGTATAACAAAAAAAAAAGGCGTTTGTTACTAGCTTGTTTTGTAGTACAGATTCGCACCATTTCCCGTAGCAGCCAATGTAATAACTGTCTTTGCATTCATTGTACTGCATCAACTACAAACAATCATAATAAGAACACATATCATATTTCAAATACTTGAATACTAAGAAACTCATTAAATAATTTACTAAATTTCATCCATTTTTGTTTAAAATTCCAACAAGCTTATTTGAAGTGGTAGTTACATTGTTCGCATGATTTAGTGTAGGCTCGAATTTCTGAAAATGTTAACATTCCTGAGGTTCCAGAGAAGTAGCATAATTTATATATTATACTGTACATACAGTCCTGCTGATGCAGTGTATGTCAGTATTTAGTTTATTGAAAAACTAAGTCTAAACCAAATGCTAATAATGAGAATCTGATTGTTTAAAATAACTACCAATCTATCAAAGATCTATTCATGATATCCCTAGCATTCAATCATTGCATATAAATGTAATCATTGAATTTTGCTTTTTCTTCTAAAATTACAAGTACAAAAACGAAAACTACAAAACACCTAGGCACCAGACTTAAACCTCTTGAGCAAGTTTGTCAATGAGCTATTATTAGAATGCTGAGTAGAAACCTCTTTAAAAGCACCGCTACAAAGAGTTACAAGAAAAAAATGTTCTGTGAATGCACACGTCCATTGCAATTGGTATGATAACTACAGCTTCTAGCTCTCACTATTTCTACAACACTATCCCAAAATATTCAACGTTAAAATTACATTTTTCGATTGATTGCAATTCTACAAGATTATAAATTTTAATATTGATACATTTTTATTCAATTTAATAATTCATGCTACATAATTCTATATTCAAGTGAAAATATCACAACAAATGTACACTAAAAGTTAAAATGGCATTATGCAAGTTGATATTTACAATTGTTTTACCTTGCTAACCATATAATTTGATAACCTATTGCATCTTACTAATATTACAAAATGATCAACGTGATAAGGATTATTAAGATGTGCTATATTTTTTTTTATCAATAAAAAAGAATAATCATCATAATAAATAAGTGTAAAATGTATTACTACAGCACTGACTATACTAGTGAAAAAAACATTCTCGTCAAACTTAAAAAAAGGTGTATAGAAATGGGATCCTGAAATCCAATGTCAAGAGCATTCCAGTTTATTGATTCTCAACTCCGTTATTAACTCTCTTCTTCCGAACTGAAAACAACCAGAGAATAACAAATTATTAGCATTTGAAATAGTATTAATAAGGTAAAGTTAGGAGAAAAACCCATAACTTGCAGCGTTATTGTGCTGAATTGCGTATGGGCGTGGTCAATGACTACCTCAGCCAACATAAAGAGGCGTTTCCAGCTACATTCACATCATTCCACAATGACAGGGGATGAAACGAATCATAGCATCGGGGTAACTCCCTACTCTTCCGCACACAAGCCAGATTTGTACACTGGACCTCATCCGAGCAGACTTGGTTCTCTACCAACAGAACCCTGGGCAAGGAGTCGCTGGAACCATCGCCCATGTTAAAGTTGTAGTTAGCAGTTCCCCTGCCTTACCGCTCAGCCGCCTCGTTTAAAAATAGCCAGTTGTTTTGTTACACCACAAAAGCAGGATTCATTTGTAGTGTATTTTTTTAATTATTTATTTAGTACTGTTATATATGATAACATTTAAGATAGTTCTGTTTTAAATTCCCCTTAAATACATTGAATCTTTAACTAATTTGATTACATATTTCTACAAGCTTTTTGTTTTTTGTTTAGGTGAAACATACTTTTTTGGCAACTTTCCCTTTCCATCAACAAACAACAGTTCTTTTCAGAACTATATCTACGTGGTATACCACATGCATTAAATATTTTATAACATATTTTTGTTTAAAAAAAATAAATTCTAAATTTTTTGTTCAATGGCCATTTAGTCTAAATGCTTTCATACTTAATATTACTGGCTGTTGTTAACTCTTTAGTTGCATTCTGTATGTCTTTTATACCCATCAAAAGTAAATTCAATTCAACAATTTATTCTCAATCTGAAATCTTACACTCTGGTGACTGTTTTAGATCTGATAACTAGCCATAAATTTTCCCTTCAATTTTGTGATAACTGAATATGTGACCTGTGAAACTTACCTATTTCATTATTTCTCATAAGAAAATTATTGGCCTTGGCACGTGGTCCAGCATGGTCAAAAGCCAAACCAAACTTCACAATGGTTTTGTTCTTTCCTAGCACTTCTGCAACGTACGATTCTACCTTTACACCAAGTGATGACCGCTTAAAAGAAAATTCATGTATTATTACAATAAGTAGAGAAAAGTAAGTAGAAACATTTATATTGCCAAGCATTTTGAAAATTCTGGTTTATGCTCACAAAATGATGTGATGTAGGCTGATCGTTAAATATCACTTTTTCCAATATGTTTATTTAATCATTATTATTTTTGTACTGAAGTCTGTATTTTGCTGAATTTGGACTAAACAAAATATGCAGCAAATTGACGCTAAGTTTACTGTATTTTTTATTTACTTTCATATTTAGACATTGCATTTCTTTGCAAGTAATTGAGGCCACAGGGGCGGATTTAGGTGGGATCAGGCCGGCCTTTTGGAAAGTAAAAATAAAAAAGGAAAAAAAAAAAAATTAATAAAAAATGTATCACTTAAAATGCCTCGGAGGTTATTTTGGGCATCTAGAAATCAAAATTTCGTGAGGGCATGCCCCCCGACCCCTAGGGTAGTGTTGTCTCGATCAGCCCCACTTTCAGACATCTCTGGATCCACCCCTGGTCCACATGCCTTAGTGTTGATGCTATAATCGGCACAGGAGCAGACAACCTCATCAGGTACTCATTAATACTCCTGGGTGGAGAAAAGCAATGCAGATAACGTGTGTTGACACGCACACAAGCGAAATGGACAGTGAGAGATTGAGACCCCAACCTAGAATTTTGGAAACCAAACCGTTCCTGCTGCGCCAAATCATTTCTACTGTAGCTGCCTAAAAAATGACATATCCCTACCTGGTTGGCAATTCTGAGTTCAGAAAGTGTTTCATTATTAAGCAATGCCTTCATAATGGCCAGAATTCCAGTGCCAGTGATGAAATTGGATTCCAAATTGAGACATGTCAATGCTGTATTTGCTTCAATTGCTTCTCCAAGTGCCTAAAAAAAAACACAACAATTTAATATACAGAACATATTTTGATAACAATACAAAATACAGCATAGAGACAGATTGATCCTGCCGATGGAGTGTGCTCAGCATGTTGTATTCAAAGACAAGGCTAAAAAGTGTTACACTGACTTGTGTAAACATGTACTCTATTCAAAATGCAGTCTAAATAGATATCAGATGGACACTTAGATTATTAACAACACATCGATGCTTATGCAGATTTCTAAATGTTGGAAGGCTCTATCTTATCCATTGAAGTCACTCATAACAACAAACTTGCACCCAATCAAAAGTGAAGATAGGAATTCTTCTGTTCTGAAAATAGCCACTATATGACACTGATATGGGTTTCTGAGGGAAATTATGACATCACAAAACAACCTGGACAGGTTAAGAATGTAGAGAACAAGATCCTTCATGGAAGCAATTGCCATAGACATCTTGCAGCATTATGGCCCAAAAGACACAAACAGACTGAGATATCCTAAGATAGAGCTCTCAGCTCCCATTTTAATGTTTATTGTGTTTTTGACATTTTTATACTTTTATGACATAAATTGTTTTGATGCATTTTAGTCTGTATTTTAGTGTTTGATATTTATATATATTTAAAGTTTTACCATATATAATTGTTGCACTTTGTTTATAATTAGTTTTATGTAGGACCCCATTGAAAATAAGTTTTACTTTATAAAGAAAACTTTCATGGGCTATCCTTACATCATCTTTTGTTGCTATTTGTTTGTCCTGCCTTGAACAAATTTTATCCATTTTTGTAAAATACTAATGATGTGAAATAAACTGAATTGAACTGAACTAAGAGAAAAAGGTGCATACTGTACCAAAAAAATAAAGGTAAAAATTGCATTGCACTCCTTATACTTTCATTCTAAAAATGAGTGATTTATCACTATAAAATATACAGTAGTATAGTAACTTACTTTTGCAATTCTGTCATTGAGACGTGTGCTTGCCATACTCAGCGTCTTTAGGTGTGTGTTCTTATGTAGAGCTTCTGACAATGATATTAGTGTAGGTATAGGTATGTTCTGTCAACAAAATTCATATAAATCACATATTATTTAAAATATATAGGGTTCTTTTGCATGCTAACTTAACATCATCACAGTATTGTACATAGTAATAATGTTATTGAAGACAGAATTAGGGAATAATCTATACAGTGGCAACCAAAGACTAACACATGTATTAGTGTTTAGCCTGTGAAGGGTCATCGGAGACTAGCCCGTGCTTGACTGTGAATTTTGGAATATTGTTCCAGCATTCTGCCTTCCCTAGCTGGCAGATCCTAATGAAGTACTTACATTGCTGACAGAGCCAAGGAAATGACACAATGTATTAAGTTATACAAAGCATGTACCTTAATGTTATTCATGTTGAGACTGGTGAGTTCAGGGTCATTTTCTTGTACTTGTTTTAATGCTTTATCAACATCAAGATTGTTTTCTGGTTCCAAATTCAACGCCTTTGGAACAAAACATTTAGAGATTCCTGAAAATAAACCACATGAACCCAATTACAAAGCAGAATTTTTAACAAAATTCAAAGCAATGATGAGGTGAATTTCCATGAAAAAAGGTATTTATTTTAATAACATTAGTTTATATCTACATTCCCAATATTGTTATTTTGGCTTATCTAATTATGCAATATTATGTTATTTTTTGATATTTTTAATTAATTGTACATTTTACCTTACTGATAATCTGTCTCCATTTTCTGTTCTGTGTTCTTTGTATTATCTCATGTAATTTTGTGTGTTTGAACAGGGACAAACAAGTTTTACTATCGGACAATGTATTCAGTTTAATGTCTCATTAAAGTATGTTAATATTCTATTTTACGATTAATTTTAATAAATCCACACAAGCTCTTTAAACAAATTGTTTCTTACTATCCATTGATTGAAACTTTTTTATTAATTGTAGCTTTGTTAAGTTAAGGTGTCATTTTAAACTATGAGGCTTACCATCCCAAAACCAGCGTACTGTCGCTTAATGTTAAACTGAGAAACTAGAAGAATGTCGCAGTATTTTATACTTTAGTACAGAGAAGCTGTAATACTTTTACTCATAACTTTGGCAATATTAAGTCGATTCCAGTAAATGACCCATCATTTTAAAGCTTATAATGTATAGAATATGGATATATTAAAAAGTCAATTTTCTTGTTTTGGTAACTGATGCTGTTTTGGTCACCGATTAGCCCCATATAATATTCTCTTGTAGTAAGTAGTTAGATTTAGTTAAGTGTAAGTAGTTAGTGGGAGTGAACGTTACTTTAACTCAAGGAGAGGAAGTACACCCTCCTCTGGTTATTAAACCACAGCTGGCCAAGAGAACATACCACTGAATTTGGCGCCCTCATCCTGCAAGCTTCCGGGGCCAGCTACCAGCTCTCGCAGGTTCTCGTTCAATTCAACAGCTTGCGTGTGCACATTAGCAGCGTAATACTGGTCCTGATTTAGCATACTGTGCAGCCCAAGGATACCTTAAAAGCATAATACTTGCACATTCACCCAAAAGCAGTATTAATTTATATAATAATATATAATTATGGCTATATATTTCATTACAACAATGACAATATCAACAACAAGTACATGAAAATATAATTGTGAATAAAATGGAACTGTAATAACATAATAACAACATATTTAATATTAACAGTTAAAATAATAACAAAAATAATGTTAAAAATACTAATACATTGGTCTTAAATGGTCTATAATTGTTCTTTTCTAACCAATTCACATGTTGTACTTAACTATTAACACCAACAACCACAATAAAATGACACTACAATAACAATAATAAATAAAACAAATATAAAAACATAATTACAATAATAGTGTTTGATAGACAAATATTGATTAATTATGAATTAAAATAGCTACAACATTAATACAGTATCATATTTATAACAAAAAAATCAAGTGACCACAATAATAATAATAATAATAATAATAATAATAATAATAATAATAATAATAATAAAATAATAATAAAAAAAACTTTATTTAACCAGGGAAAACAATTGATAACCACAATGGTGTTTTTCATCAATGCCGTAACAGACATAATCAAACTCAACTAATGTTAAACAAAGAATAAAATTAATTACAGAAAATAAAAGGAAAACTAAAACCAAATCCAAAAAAAAAATTTAAAAAAAACAAAAAAAAACAAAAAACAAAAATTACAATAACAGCTATTAATAAAATGACTGCTATAAAATAACCTAAAATTAGTATTAATAGTATGAAAATAGTGAAGATGGCAATGACATCTATAACTAATTTACATATTAATAAGCATACCCACAATAGAGGCTATTAAATCCATATTTTTTTTGTACTGATGTAATGTAGAGATTTGCCTAATAATATGTTCTTTGTTACTGTTATTGATATTTTTTAGTTAATGAATTTCTGATTTATATTTGGATTTACGATGCAACCTGAATTAATTTCATTGCAAAAACTAGAATATTTGTAATTCTATTTACTCATGCTTTCTTTAATTACAAGTTTATTGTGGTATTTTCTAATCTATGTAAATTGTTAATAGTGTTAGGATATATTATACACTCAACTCTTATTTAGGAATAAAATAAAACTCATAAAATCAAGACAAATAATAATCATACAAATGATAAGGTAGATGAGGAAGATGATAAAAACAACAATGAAAAAAAATAATAAAAATAAATAATGGATTACAACAAAATTACAATTCACAACAACAACAACAACCTTCTGCTCGCTTGGCTTCGATTGAAGTAGCAAGAGAAGTAGCGATAAGAGAAAAGAAAGAAAGAAGAATAACTTTAACACTGTGATAGATAAGATATTCAAAATTAGTTTGAAATATCATAGCTTAGTGTTATGTGGTACAACTATATAATAAATGATAACAAAAGTGAGTGAAGGAAATAGAGATTATGAAAAAGAACATTACAGTGTGCTCCTGGTGAAATGTTGGTGACAAATTATGTTTGTAATTGAGAGATTCGTAATTGGCAGAGGTCACTAAAATATGAACATAATGCAGAGAACTGTACAACCGAGCAGGGACTGACAGAATCAACAGCCCCAGCAGTTAGTCCCATCTCTGATTTCAAAGCATATGACCGAGGAAATCAACAGCTAACAAGTTTTGAATTCGGAAACTTGATAGCAACACGCTTGACTAATCATTATTATGGTTGCCCATTAGAGCAGCCATTTTTGAAGAATGGGATTCACTAGAACTGAAAGGTATTATACTATCTTATATGGAATTCACTAGACTACAGCACTCTAATGACCTTATTAAGCATTGTAAACACCATGGTGAAAAACAAACAATAGGGCATTGCTTTTTCATAGACCTCAGGGTTGGCCATGGATAATGAGCACTGACTTGGTAAGCAAATCATTCAAGGTCACAGTTAAAAAGTAAATAATACAAGTATTATTAAGATAGACAGCACTAAGATTTTTGTTTGCTAGACTGCACAATGTCTGAAGAGAATTTGTCTCTAAAGCCACTTTCAGACAGAGCTACGTTACCGCAATATTGCGGGAATATTCTCAACAATACCTCCTGTATGAAAAGGTCAGGGCTAATCGCAGCCGTAACATTGGGGTTATGCAGTGTTCCATCTCAGACCTAGTAATATTATCGCAATATTCCTGTTACAGTGTGTTCTGGAGTGTATCTGAAACGGAAGCAGGTCATATTCCTGCAATATTACTCCTTACTTACCAGATCAGTCCAACAAAGATGGCAAATTGGACGGCTGCAGAGCTTAGGGAGCAGACTACAGAAGAGGAGATTTGCCGTGAAATTGATGGCACAATTAAATCTGGGGTTTTATACTACCATTGTCATCAAACTTCCAGAGGCTGGAATAATTACATGGTATTGACTGTCTGCAGTTAGTTGTTTGCCTTTCTAACATCGGTATCAATTCATCAGTGATAAAATCAAATAAAACCCTAGACAATCTAAAATTTCTTTACCAATCTTCATCGGTGTATGTGTTTCAACTACGTTCCAAAATATTATACAATGGGTACGTTCCTTCACCCACATCGTATGATCGCACAAGGTACCTTGAATAGCTGTACACCTAGCTCACAGGCCATAATTCACTGTTGATGCCTTCCGACATCCTTAATACACACAATTTTGTTTGACTCGTATTATCTGTTCTTAAAAATTTACTTCTTGTTGCAGCATGTAGGTGTAGTACATGGAAAAATCATCAAATGTAGAATAAATCAAGGAAATTACTATAGTCTAGCCTGGACATGCCATTATGATATTTACTGTACTTTGTATTTAGCGCAATTTTCTAGAAAAAATAACAATCTATGATGACTAACATGTTAACCAATGACTCTCCCAGCGTGCATGACTCATTCATACAGAAATTATATTACGGCAATATTAATTACTGCAATATTTTGTTGGTATGAATGAACATGAATTGACATTGAGCCTAAGTTAGTGATTTTTCTTAAATAGAATAAATTTATTAGTAGTAGGTGGCGCAAAAAATGCATAACATGTAGACAACAGGCCCAACAAGATACACCAAAACAGTATTACACGACTATGTAAGGCTACATGGGTGTAGTGTGAGTTTTTACAGATGTGTTACCTGCCAACTCTACCAGATCTTCCTCTGTAGCATCTTTCAAGGCTTCTTCCATCTCTGCATCTCCCTGAACTTCTATCTCATCTGCGTTAGCATTTCCATTTTTCTTCATATCTGCATTTGCTTTGGCTTTCCATACTTTACCTTCAAGAATAAGTTTCAGTAAAAAATAGCTGCTTTAATATAATACCTAATACATTTTTTCAATATATAATAAAGTAAATTATATTGCAGCACAGAATGAATGTTGTCTTCTCCTCTTAGCCCTAATCTTGCCCCTATAACCAACAGTTTTTTGCACTGTAGGTTGTTACTTTCAAATTAAATAATTTCATTATTTGCATACTAACCCCTTGTGTTTACTGCTGGGTAGATAAATAACAACATAATTCTTAAAGACCCTACAAATTTAATAAAGAGACAGCAAGGTTTTAAGGAATCATTAGGCCTTTAAATTTAGTACCTAGTTCTGGCTATACTGAGACCCTTAGCACCAAAAACATGATAGACAGAATCCTTTACTGTTAGCCACTTGGCCCATGCATCATATGCCCTATGCATTCCCACTACAGGAATTAGGAATGCCACTAAAGATTGAATTTAAAAATTACAACAATAAAAATTCTATAATTTATCAAAGACTGAAAAACCATTTAAAAAACAAATGTGTACGTTTACCTCTCTTTTGTCCTGACTTATATGGAACTCTGTCTTCAACATCTTTTTCGCTTTTTGCTTGATTCTCTAAAAATTCCTGAAGTTTTTGTCGATCAAATGGACCGGTTGGTTCCTTATCAGTTTGATTTCTCATACGGTCAGAGGCTGGCAGTAATGCATTCTAGGAAATGTAGTTAAGATATACATAAATAATGATATATAGTAACATGTATACACCATAACCTTCAAAACTAAATAAATAAATAATCAACAAAATATAAAAATTTGAATGCTTTCTTTAGACATTAGTAAAGTGTTTTAGTAAACAAAATCATATTTCGAAAATTACTACCACAAACTAGTGGGCACCTTTCATTCGTATCGAAAACGTGCTGCGTTCATACTCAAATTTTTAACTCTATTCAAATTCTAATAGGTAGTACTGTACTTTTTTTCTTTTTTTTTTTTCATTGCGTGCATGCAAAATCAGAGTAGTTGGACCTCTTACAATTCTATATTCTTTGGATAAACCATTTGGGTTAACAAACATATTGAAAGAAAAGATCATCTTCATCTTATTCTAACTTTAATATCTTTGTATGGTAGACAGGTCTTTTGTGTTTAGTGGGGCAACCACCAGGATTTACTTTTAGTAATATTGCACACCAGGAGGCATAATGTTTCCGCTTCTGAATATCATTATAATAATGACTTGAATGATACTTTGTCAAACCTAAATAACTGTGCCTCTTCTCTCTAATCTCTGGTCTGCAGTTATTTGTTTGAATGTGAGACAATTTTTAGATGCTTATTCGAATGGGGAGCTATTACACCGCTTTTGGAAGGAAACACATGAGTTGAAAGATTGACAGTTCCATTCAACGAGCTAAGTTGAATGGAACAGTCAATCTTTCAATGAATGAAAAATTCTTCCATTGCGAATAGAAAACATTCATTATTTTGTTTTATAACATAGCTAAATAGATCCCTGTCATTTGATCATCTTCCAAGCCAGTGTAAAAGTAAGGCCTGTCGCCTACTCCGCACAAAACCTAGGCCCTCTAGGGCTAGGCCTACGCTAGAAATCCGTCCTCGTATTTCAGAAAAAAAGGGCCTATTTCCGCACAGATTTTGCGCTAATTTGAGCTACTTTTTGAGGTATCATCCACGCAATTAAAATACTTTACAGTAACCAATAACAACTGGAAAAAGTCAGACCTGTGTCTTTTTAACCAATCAAAAGATTGTTTTAGGTTAAAGTCATTTCGTATCCATAGGCAACGTGCAATGGGCAAAAACTGGTGGAAAAAAAATGCACGGTAAAACTAAATTTTCATGAGTGACGAAATAGGCAAAATAACCAATGTCACATGGTACGAAATCCACCAATCAAATGACAGGGATCTATTTAGGTGTTATAATATATAATACCGAATAGTGTAAAAATGTCATCAATCCCCTGACCCTAAGCCTCCATGTTTAGTCACTGAACAGGTAACAATATGAATCCCAGTCCACCACTGTAAGAGACCTTAATGTTGTACTTACATCAGGGTCCAGCATAGACTCCAGCTCAAGCACTTCTGCTTCTGTGAGGTTTTCCAACAAGTCATCGATATCAACATCCTTATATTTGTCAAGGTCTTTATACAGACTAAAACCCTGAGCCGTAGTCATGTTTATATTCTTCTGAAACAAAAAAATAAAAGATTCCATCATTAAAAAATGTATCTCCAGAATTTAGCATCCAGTGTACAACTGCTATTCCATGATTGAAAACTCGGGTAATATATTTTCATTTCCCACCTTGCAATAGGTGATTACAAGATTATTAAAAAACAAACGTCAACTCAGGTAAGTTCACGCTTAATCTCTCATTATTGACAACATTCCTCTTTTTATATTTTCAGTGTTTGAAATTATAAAGAAAAAAAAAACTACTTTAATAAAACATGTTCCATCACAGGCAGCACATTTACAGTTGTCTCAATTGTCAATTAGCAATTACATTAAACCTGATTCAATTGGCAGTGGCCCAATCCCATAATTTTAATTCTAAACAGAGGAGACCCTGACATCCTAGGATTAGACGAGACTTCACTGCCTGCCAATAATGATGATTTTGAATCAAAATTTTATTTTGAAACAAATATTATGCCCGCCGCTGCCTCGAAGTATCCAAAAATAAAATGTATATTTTTCTTAACTATATAAATTTAGAGCATTTAACCATCCCAACTATTTACATTCAGATATTAAATTTTATTATATATTTTCTCATGGAATAAGATTGCAAAACAAGGCATATTAAAAGTCTCACCTTAGACACATAATATATTTCATTTTAATGTGTAATTACCCTGATCAGTGGAATTAATGTTGGGAGTAAAATAACATAAACAATTTAATTAATCATTAAGTACTTATGATCAAATCAGGTAACACTGTACTGTATATTTAAAATTTGAATGAACAATTATGAACCTATAGAGTTTATGTCAAATTCTTTATTTGTTTTTAGAATATATAAATTGATGGATTTTAAATTTAATTTTTCTAATTTCAATGATTCTTGTAAACAAAATAAGGGTCATTTATTATTTATTGGTCACATGACATGTTGATTTTATGAATGTTGTGTCATGGTACCAAATACAACCAGCATATGTTGAAAGTAAATATTACTGACAATTTAAGCAATACTATCTAGTATTCTAAACAATTACACGAATAAAGATAAACAATATTATACGTAAAGTATGCGACATATTCATGGTGGGCTGTAACTTGTAGGAGCTGTTGTAGGCAATCTCATCAAAATACATTTTTTTTGCAGCTCCTACATTAAAAAATCTCACGTAAACCATAACAAATCATTGTACAAGCTTTTGTTGTTCATTCTCATTTGCACAGATAAGAAAGATGTTGCTTTGAAAAATTCACCTTTCTGGCAGTACCTATTTTTAATAGCCCTTCCCCTCCACCCAGTCAAAGAAAAAGTGAGATTTAGGCCCTAAATTAGCCTTATTCAATTCAAGCTATCTTTCTCATATGATGGTCAAATACCGTCTTTTTTTCGCGATGATTGAGATTGGTCGAAATGTAAACAAATCTAGATATTACGTGTTATGCTTGTTTAATAATTATTATATCTTTTAAAAATAAAGATATCATTAACCAGCATTTAGCCAAGTGAGAATTTTTACTATGTTAAACTTTGTAGAATTTAAATAAAGCTTGTTTCTTTTTTGCATAAAATTTGCTATTACAGTAAAACATATAATAAATAATAAAACATGTCTTTTGCATTACCCAGTATATAAAATATTACTTTTCAGTAACGCACACATTTAATATCATTTATTATGTATTTTCAGGTTTAAATCAGTATGTGATCATTATTATCATACTACCTATCTTATGCGGCCGATGATAGGTCCTACTTACAGCGCTAATACGGTTTCGCATCCGGCTGTAAAATTAGTTACCAGTTATTTAACACTTACAATTATTCAATACTAATATATTCCTTGATGATTTGACTTCCCAATAATCCACTTATTATCAAATAGTTATGGTTTCTAATTAAGTTAATGAACCATTAATTGAGATGGTTAACATCTTCGCGGTGTGCACCATTTTCATACCTGGCTTGTAGACTTACAACTGTGCGGTGTTGCCAGAATCAGGGCAAAATTATACCGTGGTTGCCATAGGTGTGCGCTGAGTTAAGCATGCCTAGTGGAAATAGTATGAATGTCACTCAAAATGTTATTCTACTTTTCGCTTTTTTTTAAACTTCATCAAGAAAAATACATACTACAAAGAGGTGAACTACAAAATAATACAAGTTTCTAAAAATTCTAATGCAGCGCAATAATTGCTCACTAAAATTACAATTGGGTACAAATTATATGACAGACGCTGGAAACCTCGACAGTCGTCAACCATGGTGCGGCGGAGCAGAGTTGATTGTGTTGAGCGATCGGGTGTTACTATCGATATACAGTACCGTACTATACTGTATGCACGATGGCGTGTATTTCAATACTTGGAGTATGTATTATACTTTCTTAGTACCGTACTAATTATTGGTTAATTAACTTAATTAGAAACCATAATTGTGGAATAATAAGTGGCTTATATGAAAGTCAAAATTATCAAAGAACCTGTTAGTGTTGAATAATTGTAAGTTATAAATAACTTGGTAACCGTTTTCAGGGCTGGACTGGATGCAAAACCGTATTAATTAGCGCCCCTACTTTTTTACTATACTATTATATTACTGATGATGATGGGACTATCGTAGTACACCCGCAGTCTATTAATAGATATCTTAATTAGACCTGACTAGACTAGCCTAAACCTAAAATAACGTCAACTGAGGTGGGCGTATACTAGAAAGTCTGATGGCCGTAGCCTAGGTCTAGGCCCTAGAGTTTGTAAACATAACAAACAAAGCGTAGGTTGCTTGCCTAACCCAGACAGGGCCTAGGCTAGCTAGCCTAGGCCTACGCCTATTTTATAAAGTGCTACAACAATGAGCAGTGCCTGGATTTTTAGCGTATGTAAGTACATCGGTATATATAATACTACGAATAAAAATAAAATTTAAACGTTACGGACGGAAAAAACTGTACAGTGTATGTTTATCTACAACTGGAAAAACTCACTTTACGTAAAAACGACCTTCAGTATGGCGACTTCACTATCGTCCGATCCGGTTACGAAGAAGAGGCTGGTCAAATAGTTTTCGACGACGATGGCCGGAGATAAATATTCATGAAGCGCGCCCTCAAACACGACATTTAATAGCTCCTATGAATAAAAATAAATTAAGTGCTACGCTTATCCTTACAGTTGTGCTTTTAAAATCAGGATTAACCTTTCAGCTATTCCAAGAAGAATGAATGACAATTTAATATCCAATACAGATAAATTAAGACAGAATACAAATTATAAGGAAAATAAAAATACATAATTGTCTCAGCTAGTCTACACATCAGTAGGCCTAAGTTAAATTACCTTTTAATACACATATAGTAACATTTGTTATATTTATACATGTGTTTTATATAAATTTAAAGGTAAAATACTGAAAAACAACAATGCTAGATCTCGGTAGATGTACACATTCGATAAGCAAAAGCTAAAAAGCCTAACGTAAGTATACAGCTAGAAATATAACCAGAGTAGGGATTTAATAATAACATCGCCAACTTGTCTCGAGTATCTTGTAGGAAAAGGCTCTGCATAAATTCTACCGGTATGAAATAACAGGAGTTGGAAATATGATGATGATGATGATTGAAATACCATAGTATATAACACCTTTAACATAAAAAAAAATAAAGCTATTGATCTGAAATCAGAATTTTCCATCAATCAATAAATCACACACTCACTCGAACTAAAAGTTTACATCACTTTGTTCCAGCTCCGTGCATCCCTCTATAATTTATATAGTCCTATATGAACTTATGCAGAGCCTTTTGGTATGGAATACAAGACTTTGGCGATGTTGTTATTATTAAATACCCCCCTCCACCCTATCCCGTTTATGAATCTAAAATTAGCAACTTCTTCACTCCAAAGTTGTGCTATGGTTGTAGGCCTAAATATAGTATTATAAGCAATTGTGACAACGGAATGTCTAATAGGCTCATGGATAAAACAATTAAATAAGTAAAATAGGCCTGGTTTTGACAAACAAATTTATTTCAAAACTAACTTAGTGTCACCTGAAGAGCAAGATGAGCTGCAAAGCTCGCGTGTCAGGTAAATGTGTGTAAACAAGGTGCCACCATTAATTATTTACTAATAGGCCTACAACTCATATTTTTGTCTCATTAACAATTGTGTCATAATTATGTCACGTGCCAGGAGAAAATGTATATTATGTGGCAGTAAAAACCTATTGTTTGTAAAATAATATAAATAGTAAAATTTACATACTCTATTGTTGAACAAGTCTAATACGGACAATGGTAGGCAGACAACGAAAGGGCCGACCAAAAAAAAGACAATGATAGATCTAATATTGACAAAATGAGACCTCATTGAGTAATCCGGGGCGTTGTTCGTAATAATGTGCTATTAGTAACACGCCTCGCGTAGAATTGTGTCATGAGTAAATTTACCATAGTAAATCATGGAAATTTTACGTAAACTTGCACATTGTGGGACATACGCGTATTAAATACGCGTTCTGATGAGTCAGTTGTTATTATTGGCACAAATGAAAATGATAGGTCTACATTTCCGTCCAATCCAGACCATGGAAAAGAAACCCAAAATAAGAAATTGCATAATGTTATCATAAAGTGAATTACGCTTATGGTAAGAACAATATGGAATTATAAAACTACTAAGCATTTTTTCATTTATTATTTATAAACACAATAATCTGACATAATACGCACAGGGTACCACATAATAATTTATGTCGACGCAATATAATTTTTGTTTAAACCTAGGAAAAGTAGGGCTATAGGATATGGATAAAACCAAAATAAAGGAACAATTGTTAATAAATAACTACCCTATGCTATATAATTAAATTGCAGTGCGAGATCTTGCACGTCGAAAATCCTACTGATTGGTTTGTTCAAGGAACAGTGAAATTACTGTTCTACCGCCCGACTAATGTAGGTAATCCGTCGTTTCACCGCCTCCACAAAATCTGCGATGTTACTGTATAAAAATTTGTTGTGGGCTTTTACAGTGTAACAAATTTTCAACAAGTTATAAACTTTTGGTTTGGTTATTAGCAGCAAAAAACATAACTGATAATGTTAACAGTGGAGATGATATATTTTAGTCTGACCACTCGTCGATAAGAATTGATTATCATTTATTTAATATGAAATGTAGTAACAATTTTAATAATTTTAATGATAGAATATTTTACAATTTAAAAAAAATATAAATATGGATGATTTGTGCAATACATTAAATTATGAATTATTAAATTTTGAAGGGAATATTAATGATGCTCTTGACTTTTATAATTTTTAAATTGCTGCTATAAGGACGTTGTTCCTAGAGTTGGAAAGAGAAAGAAATTTCCGTGGTTTGACAAAGAGCTACGTACCGTAATGTATTATACGAGAAGGAAAGGTGTTAGGCCTACAGAATTATGAAGAAAAACAATAATCCGTCTGACAAAATGTAATTTTAATTTTGCTCGACGTTCGTTTAAAAGAACCTATGTAGAAGAAAATACAATAATTACCATCACTTGCAGGACAAATTGGCTCAAACAAAAAGAGATTCTGGAGTTGGCTAAAATGTAAACATAAGTCAAGTGGATTTCTTTCAGTTATATCTCAGGGCAATATATCTGTTGAATCTGATTCTGGTAAAGTGACTTTTTTCATTATTTTTTTAGTGATCACTCTTTGTATAGAACTCAAGAATGCCCGGATCTTCCTGATTATTAATTGAAATGTCAACAATGGGGTAGATATGCATTCCATTGAAGTAGCACACAGCAATATTGATATTAATAAAGCCATTGGCAATGATCAAATCAGCAATAGGGCCTAACTGTTCTTAAAGCAGCCGCATCTCCGCTCTCGTATCCATTTTACACAATTTTTCAGCTATCCATAAATTCATGAATTTTTCCAGCTACATGGAAATTTGCTAACGTCTACCAATTCACAAAAGTGGTTCGAAAAAAAGAAATGGAAAATTACCGATGGTCCTGTATATCTGCTGCCTACTTTATGGCAATGATCAAATCGGCAATACTGTTCTTAAAGCAGCTGACTGATAGGCAGCAGAGGGTTGTCATCAGTGGAATTTGCTTCGAGTGACGTTCTGTACTTTCTGGAGTTCCTAGGAGGTCAATTTTCGGCCCATTGATTTTTAATCTATATATTAATGACCTTCCTTCAAGTTTTCTCAATATCTTTTGCTTGTTGATGACTTAAAGCTACTTATAAAAATGTCATCACTTCAGCATGCTCACTTATTACAGGATGATTTGAGGTCACTTGCGAAATGATCAGAATCATGGAAGCTTTCCTTAAATAAGTATGTAAATCATTATGTACGGTATCACGCTGAAAAAAAGACCTATTTTATTTACATATAATTTGAACGATGAGGAATTAGATTGTGTTACTTTTCAAAAGTTGTTTTAATAGACAATAAGTTAAATTGTTGTTTATATGTTAATTGTGTAGTGTCGAAAACAAAGAGGATGCTCGGGTTGATGTGGAAGAATTGTAGATTCATGAAATGGTGGGGCATTAATATCACTTTACCATAATCGTGCGCCCCCCACCAGGAATATTGTTGTGGAAGAATTTGTAGATTATTCATGAACAATGGTGGGGCATTAATATCACTTTACCATCCAATCGTGCGCCCCCACAAGGAATATTGTTCAGTTATTTTAGTTCAATTTCTGTCACACAGGCTCAGCGTATTTCTAATGTTCAGAATAAGTTTATTAGGTTTCTTAGTCACACTTATAATATTATAATGTCTCTCTTGTTTCTCTTGAAAATCGTAGAATTGTTTTTGATATGGTACCGTATTTTTGTATAAGTCTTTGAATTCTGTTTATGATTGTCCTCAATTGTTTCTTAGCTTAATCTAAATGTTCTGACGTTCATTTCTTTTATGATAGTTTAAATGTTTTTAAAGATAAAATTGTTAAATCTATGTAAGTGTTTTTTTTTTAACTTTTAACATTATTGTTCACAAATATTTTATTACGTTTTGATTAAACCTGTTAGTGTACGGAAACTTGCACATTTGTGGGATATACGCGTATTTTCAAAAATAATATAATATTTTTCAAGAATAGTATAATATTTATTTGTGATCGGGTAAGGCATATATTGGCGCAGTAGCAGGCAACCGCACCAGGTACCGAACAATAATATTTAATTTAAAAAGTAATGAAAATTCTGCTACCTGTCTTGATGTTTTGTAATTTAGAGCGCACTGAACATGAACAGGAACGAAACCTTGTGGTTTGTATGCCATTGTCTCAGAATGATTCAGGAACCTCGAGATTCGAAATCTCAACCGGATATATTGTCTAGCAAATTCATAAATGCAGGTTAAAGTAAATAAAGATTATGTCTATTATGTACGTACAGCTACAGTTTATCCTGTGCGTGTACGTTCTTCGTCTGGAATTCTTTTTTGTATGATGAGTTATAAAACCTACAGCGCTGCACTGATAGAGCTAAAGGTGATCTACTGTAATAACAGTAGGGGTAGTGTGGGAAAAAGTTTTTAAAAAAAAATAAACATTTTATTAATAGCAGTGGCGGCGCCAGTTTCTGAAGTGAGAGGCAAGGTAAATATGCTGGGGTGCCCCCCACCCCACTAAATTCCCTCCTGATCATGGGTCTAAACATAAGATGTCAATTTCCTTTTTATAAAAACAGACGTGAAGGGGTATTGAGGGAAGTGCTGGGTGCCTACGCGTTAACATTCAACGTTAGGGCAGTGGCGGTGCCAGCGGGGTGGGGGAAGGGGGTTTAAGGACAGGTCACTGCCCCCCCCCCCGTCGAACAGAGCTCGTCGGGCAGTCAGACCATAAGAAATAATATATAAATAGGACCACACCAAGCCAACGTGCCACCATGCCCAGTAGTAGACTCTGCAATGGGGTCCATACATTTCCTTATTGATGTTAACTTGCTTATATACAAACATTTTATGTTATTCAACATATTGAGCCTGTAACTCAAAATATGCCTATCTGGAAAACTATATAACATAAAAATAATAATAGGAAATTGTTTGAGGATTTACATGGTAAAGTAACAATAGGCTACTACGCGTAGATA